GAAAGAAAAGCATTATAGGGCGAATGATGAAACTCTTGGAGCAGTTAAGGACAAGTGAGAAGCAAACATAAATCATAACAGAAATACGGGGAGGACCGTAAATATAACTGTTCAGTGACTTGGAAAAACAAAAATATTGACCACAGATGATCTGCATAATTATGAAGCAGATGATGAAAGCATTGAAATAGGAAAATGTTTTCCATACCTTTGCTCAATCAGTATTCAGAATGGAGACTGCATTTAAGAAATAAGAAAACGAGGAGTGCATCTTCATTCAGTGCATCTACACGCTGTAGAAGTGATGTAGTTTGACACCACTTTAACTGCCATGGCTCAATGTAATGGAATCACAGGAGTTGTAGTTATACAAAGCCTTAGGCTTATCCACCCAAAATGCCTCACTTAAATACAAATCCCAAGACTTCATAGCACTGAGCCATAGCAGTTGAAGTGGTATCACACTGCATTAAGTGGAGGCACTCTACAACTTGGAAGGCCAGCTCTGAAGAAACTAGACAAGATCCTGAAGTGTAAAGATATATTTATGAATACTAAAGTTAGGCTAGTCCAAGCGATTGTACTTCCAAATTTATATACTGTTGTAAAACTGGATAGCGAAGAGAGTTGATAGGAACCGAATAAATTCATTTGAAATGTGATGCTGCAAAACAGTTCTGTGGATACTGTGGATTACTAAAAAGACAAGCAAATGGGACCTACAGCAAATAAATACTGAAGTCGCCATATAAGCCAAGAGGAGCCAAACTGAGTCTGTTGTACTTTGGACACATGAAGACATGGCTCAACAGAAAAGACAATACCGCTTGGTAAAGTTGAAGGAAGTAGAGAAAGGGGAAAACTACATTCCAGTTGGATAGACTCAATCAAGAAAGCCACCATCCATGAAGAGATCCATGAAGCTATACAGAAGATCCTGGGAATAAAGCTACAATTAAAAACTGAGTATTTTCTACTGGGAAAAATTGATGTTGATATGGGAAAAAACCAAGGACATTCTATTTAATTATCTAGTCATGGCAGCAGGAATAACATATGCCAAGAAGTGGAAAAAGGAAGAAATACCTACTATTGAAGAACGGTCACTTAAAATTCAGGACATTATGAATATGAAACGCCTATCTCAATATCTAAGAACCTACCAGAGAAATCCACAGGAGGAAGTAGATTGGACAATAATAAAGCACTATTTCACATAAGGAATGACTACAAAGAAGTTGTAATGAGATGCAAGAAGGGGATAGAGGCAGAGGAACAGAGAATGTAATATAACCATAGAACTATGCTTGTTACAATGGAGGAGACAGGAGGTCAATGAACTTGTTTCCTCTTTATTATTATTAATTATTATTATTATTATTATTATTATGTTTTTATTGTCTTTCTTTTTTCTTCTTTTCTTCTTTTCTTTTTTCTTCTTTTCTTTTTTTCTTTTTTACTAGCTCACTATGTAACACATTTTAACACAGTTCACAAGAAAAAAATATTCAACCCCCTATGTACTTCTCCCCCCTCCCAAGCCTAATAAAATATTATTTTTAAAAAAAAGAAAGAAAGCCATCATCCAGAGTATGCAAGACTTGAGCAGTACTGTTGATAACAGACTGCTTGGATGGTTTTCATTCATGGGGTCACTATGCACTGAGATCAACTTGACAACAGTTAACAACAACTGGACTTTATGAGCAGAAAACATTAAACAGCCTAAGTGCATCTCTGATTTCATTCTCTGTGCTCCTCATTTCTTTGTGAGTATTATAACTACAATATTAAGTTTTACGTCTTCTGGGATTTCCAATATATTTTGATAAATTTCCACATTTACCAAGGTAATTATTTGCTTATAGCTCCATTGCTTATCTGGAACATGCCATGTAGTCAGGAAAAAAAATGAAGTGCTATCAGGAACTAACACTTCATAGAGCTGGCCCTGCAATTAGATAAAGGGTACTGGATAAAGACACACACTCCAACTGTCTTGACTTTGAAAGGACAATTCTGCTTAATATTCTGTCATTCCAGTTTTTTTAATCATCTTTAAAATGTCTCAGTTTTTCTCTCCTCCCACTTTACTCTTTCTTCCTCAGCTTAAATAATAATAATAATAATAATAATAATAATAATAATAATAATAATAATCTTTACTTATATTTTGCTCTATCTCCCCGAAGGGACTCAAGGCAGATTCCAAACATAAAAGGCAAACATTCAATGCCCAAATACAACAACAATACATCCATAATAACAAAATTTAAACAACCCAATATATAAACACAAATTATAACTTAACAACTACAATTAAATAAAAAACACAGCCTGTTATAACAGACATAAGACAAAATATCAAACACTGAATGGAAACAATAATTTCTCATTTCTTTGGGGCAAATAGATTAATCATTGCTCAAGATAGCTTACTTCAACTGCTGCAAGCTGAGTTCAAAATGCAAAACTAGTTTTCACTCATTTAACACAGTGGGGGGGGGGGGGGGGGTTTGGATAGGAATCTTACCCTTCTTGGAAGGGATAGGCAAAGGCAAATATGCTCTAGCRACTCATAGCCACTGGGTTCTTCCTCATTCATAACTTTTGACATCTTGACTACACTCCCTGATGTTGCTGGAATATCCCACTCCTTATGTCCATAAAGCACTATATGGCTCCTCTAAGCTAGTCATCTATCTTCTATCTTCTGGTGTAGCAGAAGATATTGCCCTCTTATTTGAACTGGGGACACCACCTTGTTTCCCAGAGAGTAAAGCACTTTGAGTTAGTCCTGACCCTGCAAGCATAATATCATGCTGAGTATACATTTGAACTATCAATTCTGTTTTCAGTCACTATTCCTAGTCTGTGCCTCTGAAATCCAACTATGATATAAACCTTTGTGTTTGAAACTTCCTAAAGTAAAATCATTTGCTAAATTTCTCTGTGTGGGAAGATATGGGATTTTTAAAAAGTTTAGATACATATAATTTCATATACAACAACAATTTTATTACACTCAGTTCTTGTGGGGTTTTTCGGGCTATGTGGCCATACAGTCCATAGACCTATCAGTAAAACCAACAGTCATTATATGCCATATAATTTCATATAGGAAATTGGAGTAACCCCGATGAAGAATAATGGCCATTTCCCATTGCCTTGCTACTAATCGGAAACACTACATGCCCATATGCACTGAATGGATGAGGAAAATTAACTTTTTGGTGAAATTTCAAAAAGTTACCTTTATGTGCTAGCCATAAGATGCCAAATCATGTCTGATTCTGGAAGCCAAACAGGGTTATCCAATACTAACTTGGATGGGAAATTGCCAATAAATGTCACATGTTGTAAGCCAAGCATGGGCAAACTTTGGCCCTCCAGGTGTTTTGGACTTCAACTCCCAGAATTCCTAACAGCTGGTACGCTGTTAGGAATTCTGGGAGTTGAAGTCCAAAACACCTGAAGGGCCAAAGTTTGCCTATGCCTGTTGTAAGCTATACTTCACAGGAAATAATTGACAAAACTACCTCTGAGTATTCCTTGTGCAAGAAAAACCTACAGAACTCATAGGTTCGCCATAAGTTAACAGGTTTGTTGTTTAACACTTTTGGTTAGCAATACTAAGCTGGTTAAAAAAAACCCAAAACTTTTCCCACTATTTTTTCCCACTGTAAAAATATGGTTCAACCAGGTGTCACCACTAGAAAGTCACTTTGGTATACCAGTTTGATGATGGGCTCTGATTACTAGGGTTTGAATCCCTGCTTGGCCATGGAAACATACTGTGTAACCTTGTTCAATGCAGACTCTCACAGCCTCAGTGAAGTCTGAATAAATCTTGCCAAGGAAACCTTTGATAGATTCACCATAGGGTCACCATAAGTTGGAAGCAATTTGAAGCTGCAACAAGTGTCAACACTACAGGGAGGAAGGGTTTTGGCAGCTGCCCAAGTAATTGTCACTTTTTTGAGGATGTATCCTTTTATGATGGGTAACCAATTCAACACCATCACACTTCATTATTTTCAGAGTTTCCTTGATAAATATTCCAAAGCTGATATTTGCCTCTAAATGCAGCCACTTATTGATCAATAGTTAGATCCTTTCCAATTCCCTAGTTTGTACCACATGTGAAGATACTCAAGAAACACAACATATTTGTCCTGAAAGGCAACCACTATATCAGCGACTCTGTGCATTACTCTTGTTGCTCTGCTGCTGAATTTCAAGTACCTTTTGAGTGCACAAAATCTCTTTAGGCTCCTTATTGCTCTGAACTGAGTGTCTCATGAGACTTGATGACACAGTTCCTTCGAGGCTTCAGGCTGCCGATAATGCAACCCTGTCAGAAGAAGTAGGCCAATGTACTATGGACTCTATTACACGAAGCAAGCAAACCGATTCTGCAGCTGCCACAAAATGCCAACTACACCCCACTCCAGGTTTGTCTCATTATCACACAACGCTGTGTGCATCCACTATGAGATTCCCTTGTCCCATGAGTCTCTTATCCCTAGCTAACCCATCAATAGCTCCAAATCTCACAACATTCCCATTATCTACCTGGGTGCAATTGTCCCTTCCACTTCAGTGCCAGAAGTAACATGATGTCAGAGGATGGGACTCGCCTCCTCTCCCCTTTTACCTCTTCTCCCTCGCTATTCCCAAGACAGCCATTTTCCTTTGATTTTATACCAGGCATGGGCAAACTTGGGCCCTCCAGGTGTTTTGGACTACAACTCCCACAATTCCTAAGTCCAGGCTGCATCCATCCCTGCATCCTGGAAGCCAGATATGGTCTGCGGCATGATGGAGGAGAGCCCACAGTCTTCAGGACCCTTGATCCTACATGGAAAGGATCAAGTCAATTTACATTTGATGCCTTCTGTACACTGGAAGAAGATAAGGAGTTGGTTCTCAGCAAGATGCTTCCACCAACAACTGCACCAAGTTTAAATTGAAAAATGGGGCATGTGATTCTATCTTACCGTGTAGGAATCTTCACTCTGAGGTAGCGATCTACAGCAATGGCCAAGAGTGCCAAGATGGAGCTCTCAGTGAGGATGAGAACTGGGCAGGCCACCATCAGGCAGCTGTAGAAATGTATCCGTGGTCCAATGTTGATGATGATGGCAAGTGGGATGACCAAGGCCCCCACTGCAACGTCTGCAATTGCCAGAGAGACAATAAAGTAGAAGGTGGCATCTCGTAAGGCCTGGTTGACTTTGACAGCCCAGATCACCAGGATATTCCCAGGGATGGACACAAGGGCAATCAGCACCTCTATGGTGATGTAGGCAGCCTGGAAGCCAGATATGGTCTGCGGCATGATGGAGGGGAGCCCACAATCTTCAGGACTCTTCTGTTGCCTGAAACGAATAAAGGATTCATAGATTTAAGGAACAGAAGAGTCTGCAAGTCCTGAATCCCAAACAGTTTCTCACCCAGCCCCCTCCTCCATGCATCTATATTTAGCAGCACTTGCAGGATAACAGATTTTCATGCATTCCACATTATTCTCCACAGGTCTAACAAACAGTGCCATATTTATACATAAACTGAGTGAGCCCTGGATTATAAACGACATCAAAGTATAGTGAACAAGCAAGTAAATAAAGCGATTTATGCATAAAAAATTTCCCCCTTTAATTTCCTAAATTCACATTTTATAAAACCTGTATGGAAAGATGTGATGTTATTGTGCATCTTAAACTTGACACGGTTTAGACAGAAACGCTCCTTTTTTAATCCCTGTAAATGGTTTTAGAGTTGCAGTTAAAGTTACATTTTGCTCTTGTATAAATCTATCTGGGATAGGGAAAGGGAAAGGTTTCCCCTGACATTAAATCTAGCCATGACTGACTCTGGGGATTGGAGCTCATCTCCATTTCTAAGCCGAAGAGCTGGTGCTGTCCACAGACACCTCCAAGGTAATGTGGCCAGCATGACTGCATGGAGTGCAGTTACCTTCCCGCAGAAGCGGTACCTTTTTTTTCCAGTCAAGAGCAACTTGAGAAACCGCAACTTGCTTTGATGTGAAAGAATTGGCCATCTGCAAGGATGCTGCCAAGAGGACGGCCAGATGTTTTGATGTTTTACTATCCTTGTGGGAGGCTTCTCACATGTCCCTGCATGAGGAGCTGACAGATGAGCTGACAGAGGGAGCTCATCCATGCTCTCCCTGGATCTTCAGTCCTGCCGGCACAAGGAAGTAACCCATTGCACCACCGGGGACTCCTTGTAGTACCTATTGATCTACTCACACTTGCATGGTTCGAATTGCTAGGTTGGCAGAAGCTGAGGCTAACATCAGAAGCTCACCCCACTCCCTGGATTCAAACTGCCAACCTTTTTGTCAGCAAGTTCAGCAGTCCAGGAGCTTAATCCACTGCACCACCAGGGGGTCCCCATCTGGGATAAGAGGTGTTTTAACATGAAGACATTTTACATGCATTTTGAAGAAAATACATATAACTGATAAACTGTAGGTTGTCCCTTTTTATATAATTTTAGTCACTTGTGTGCTGTCTTCTTTTCTTTCATTTAGATTTCATCAACCCCTGAAGGCCATTAATCACTACTAGGCTGAAATGTGTTGGGCTAATTAGAAAAAATAAAAATAAAAATTTCAACACCGTGAAACTTTGTCTCCCCTCTATTAGGTGTTACCAGTCCTCATTCTTTTTACAGTCCAGACGCTCACTGTGTTCTAATAAGGTCCTCTTGGGAAAATTACACTAATTATTTCCCAGTTCTAGCAAAGCCTCTCTTGTTCTTCTCATATCATTACCTTTCCCTATCCTACCAGGTGTGTGTGTGTGTCTGCATGCCAAATGATTCACCACATTCAAGTCATATAATGCAACTGAGCCTTAATTAATTTCTTTTGCATCTTTTCTGTAAGATAACCAGGTTTCGGCAAGCTTCCCAATGTTATAAGTTCCAAAACAGGGCAGCACTCATTACAAACAGATTTTCTATATCTTCTTTCTCTCTCCATTGTTTTACAAGAGATTACTCCCCGAAGACAAATTGCAAAGGGATTTGTTGCAATTTACATTTCATTAAGCCCATTAAGCAACTTTTGTCCAGAGTCTGAGCATGAACTGGCCACATGGGATTGAGTTACACTAATTCTAGGCAACAGCTACAAACAAATTGATTACCAGAATCAGCATCCCTTTGTTGTGACACAGTAAACTCCGACAGCCAGCTCACTAGTCATGTCGCAGAAATTTGTAAAAAAAAACAAAAACAAGCAATTTTATGGTGGATTGATAAAGAAACAGCAATGAAACATATTCAGGTATACAACAGGATAAAGACTGGGCTTCCAGCAAGGTATCATACATATCTGAGGTCCTTTATGGAGAGACTCAAGACTGTATCCACAGTGCAAAATTATAGAAGTATAACTCCACATCAATTGTCATGACTAAATGCTGTGGCATTCTGGATAGTGGTGTTTGGTGAGTGATTTATCCTTCTCTGCGAGAGCATTCTGGTACCATAAGAAATTACAAATCCCAGGGTCCCATAGGATGGAGCCACAGCAGTTAAATTGTTGTTAAACAGCTATAATTCTGCAGTGTGGATAATCTATGAGTTAATCTAAGACGCTGAAAGTGCCCAAAAAGAATCTGACTGTATCTCTATAACTGGATGAGCAAAAACAAAGGTATCCTACTACTTCATCACACTAGAAAATGGATACTTTAAATCTGGTTACTGTACCCTGCAGAATTCTGTAGTTTGTAGTTTAGAGAGGCTGTTAAAGGCTCCTCCCTAAACTACAAACCCCAGAATTCTGCAGGAGACAGCAACCGAATTTAAAGTTGATTCATTCTCTAGTGTGATGAGGTTTGCTAGCTAGAGAACTTCCTGGGGATCAAGCATAGGCTATAGCAAGAAGGTTTTGGACCAAAATGTAGGAGAATAATGCAGTACACGATTACAGCTGCCAGACTATTTTATGTACAGAAACAGAAAGACATAGCTATCCAATCACAAGAAGACTGGTTGCTGAAAATATATGATTTGTCAGAAATTGATAAATTGTTGACATTGATCAAAGAAAAATCATTAACTGAGCAGGATTGGAAATCATTAATTGTATTTTTTTTAAACCACTGTTAGATACTATCAGTATTCAGGTTTGAAAAACAGTAGGTGTATATAATTAGAAGAGTGCTTAAGTTAAGTAAGACAATTGGGGAAGCAGGATATAGGGTTAATTAATAACGCCAACTGAGTAGTTGGATATCTTTTCCTATTTACATGGGCATTCTGAGTGGGACCACAGTAGAAAGGTAGCTTCCAGGAGTGGTGGGTAGATAGTTATTGAACAAGGGAGGTAGTACATAACTCTCTGCAAGAACCATTAAAAAAGTATATGCCAGTGTTGTGCTGGTGAACATCAGTCACAAGATCCCAGTCCACACAATTAGATTGTAGTGCTTCAAACTTCGTGTTGTTGTCAGGGTTGAAAGGAACTAGAGCTTGCAAGGTTGATGCACCAGGACTTTTCAATTAGCAGGAGCAATGACATTGGCCAATGGACCTCTCAGGCCGGGCTTTAGACAATCGAAAGGTTGACAGTTCAAGCCTGGGTTGGGGTGAGCTCCCAACTGTCATCCCAGCTTTTGCTCACCTAGCAGTTTGAAAACAGTTTGTGACTAGATAAATAGATACTGCTTTGCTGAGGCGGTAATAAAAGGTGCCCATGCAGACATGCCGGCAATTCGATCAGAGAGCGGCTAAGTACAACAAAGCTCCTCAGCATGTAAGATGGAGTGACAGCACACCCCATGATCAGAGTTGAGCACAGCCTCCAGCTGCCAGAGATGGAAAAAGATGGGAAACCTTTAGCTCTGTTTATGTACTGTTTGTGTTGTTAATTGTATAACGGCATTGAATGTTTGCCATATATGTATGTACTGTAATCCGCTCTGAGTCTCCTCAGGAAGATAGGGATAAATATAAATAAAGATTATTATTATTATTATTATTATTATTATTATTATTGCCTGCTCTGTACTTAGCAGAAATCTTCATAATAGCAAAGCGTGGGGGGATTTTCTCAGGAGCCATAAATTATGTGCTATACCTACTGTAATGAAAAATATTGAAAGCGCAGTTAAAATCTGTCAGGTTTACAAAAGACCTGCTCATAGCACAATTAATGGCTGGACTTATTTTGGATTTTTCTGATGTGGCACAAAGAGGTTCTAGTTATCTGGGAGCCATTGGAAACAATAAAATATGGCTGGAACAGCACATAATAAAACAAAAAAACCCAGCAAACACACATATTTATAAAACCCTTACATGTATGTAAGAATGTCTAATTCAATGAAAGATGTAAATTTATATAACAGTATCTCTCTTGTCCTTTGTGGAGGTATCAGAGCAACTGTAAGGGGTAGAAACACTCTCAAGGCAACTGCAGGGAGAAAAAGTGCGAGTAGGTTTTGCACTCACTTGAATATTAAAAAGATGGCATTGACACTCCAACACTAAAATATACATACATACATACATACATACATCCCCCAAACCTTAATGGAAGTACTTCCTGCTATCACTACCAAAGAAAGTAGCACATGAACTGATGCAGCAAAACCTCTTCAAATTGCCCATGAAATTAGGCCAGATTTTTATATTATAAAGGTGGTGGGTTAATGAATATGGAATGCTCTTTTATTTCTCTGCATTTTTTTCTGTGCAGACCTTGAGGCTTTGAACTACCCTCCCAGTACTAATAGACCAGTTAGGGATTCATTGTAATGGATTTGCCGTTGGGCTTCACCTACTCTCTGTATGCACAGAAACAATATTTTTTATGGCTCAGCAACTATATTGCTGTGTGTGTGTGTGCTGGTTTTATTGTTCATCGTAATATCTTTAGACATTGATAGTTTGTATTCTGTATTTTTTTTTTAGTGTATCAAATGTCCGCAGATATGATGTAGGTACAGAGAGGGGTAGAGGCATATGCCCTGCTGATTTCAATAGGTGTTCACATATATGCAGATACAGTAGAATCTCGCTTATCCAACATAAACAGACTGGCAGAACGTTGGATAAGCGAAAATGTTGGATAATAAGGAGGGATTAAGGAAAAGTCTATTAAACGTCAAGTTACGTTATGATTACATTATGATTTTACAAATTAAACACCAAAATATCATGTTTTGCAATAAATCAGCAGAAAAAGAAGTTCAATATATGGTAAAAATATGTAGCAATTACTGTATTTACGAATTTAGCACCAAAACAAACAAGAGTTCTTTCTTTCTCTCACCCTGGATTGCATTGGATAATAGAAAACGTTGGATGAGCAAAGGTTGGATAAGTGAGACTGTACTGT